TTACTAGAGATGAAGACAAAGCTGAATTATTAAATAACTATTTTTGTAGTATTACTAGAGTAGTTGACAGTAACACGGATGTTCCGATTATTGAGCCAAAAACTGACAAAAATATTAGTTCAATTAGATTACATTCAACTGAAATACGCGATGTTCTATTGATATTGAAGCGCGGCAAGGCCTCGGGTGGGGATGGAATCAGCCACCATATGCTAATAAATACTGCTCGCACTGTTTGTACTCCGCTCGAAATAATATTTGATATGTCCTTATTAACAGGGATTTATCCAAATAAATGGAAATTAGCCAATATTTCGTTTAAAAAGGGTGACAGACATTCTCCTTTGAATTATAGACCAATTTCTTTGCTGTCTACTGTTGGTAAGGTTTTGAAAGAGTGATTTTTAAACATTTGTACAACTACTTTATAGAAAATTCTTTGTTTTACAAATATCAGTCTGGTTTTATGCATGGTCATTCTACAGTGTATCAACTCATTGATATATATCACCAAATTTGTATTGCACTTGAAGAAAAAAAAACATACGTGTGCTGTATTCTGTGACATATCCAAAGCTTTTGACAGGGTTTGGCATAGAGGTCTTGTAGTGAAGTTAAAATCGTACGGGATTTCAGGTGAATTGCTTATGTGGTTAGAAAATTATTTGTCTCAGAGACACCAAAAGGTATTTTTAAACAGTTCATATTCTTCTGTAGGTCTAATTGAGGCAGGAGTTCCACAAGGGTCTATTCTTGGCCCACTTTTATTTCTTATATTTATTAATGACATAGCAGATATTTTTTAATCAACGTCTTGTCTTTTTGCAGACGATACACCATTACTTAAGTCATCTTCATCTTGTCTAGAAATTCAAGAAACTTTAAATAGAGACCTAGAGATCTTAAATACTTGGTCATAATCCTGAAAAAACAGATGTATTGTTTATTTCGAATTCAATCGATATCGAAGAAGACTTAGATTTGGTATTCGATGGGAAAGTCTTAAACTTTACAGATTGTCATAAACATTTAGGGGTAACTTTCAATTCGAATGCAAAGTGGGGGTATCATGTAAATGGAATTTACACTTCTGTTATGAAAAAAAAATGTCTTACGGAACTTGAAACTCTTATTAAGTAGGAATGCTCTTTTAATAATTTACAAGACTTTATTTTACCTGTTTTATAATATGCTTGTGAGTTGTGGGACGGTTGCACTGTTTTTGAATATGAAAAGTTAGAAAAAGCCCAGCGTGAAGCTGCTCGCATTATATTAGGACTTCCTTCATATACCCCTATTAATACTTTATATTACGAAACTAGTCTTGAAACTTTATCTAACCGCAGAAAACGGAGGGAACTTCAACTATTGTATAAGATGCATCATAAATTAACTCCTGATTACTTCAATCATCTTTTGCCGCCTTTATCTGGAGAAAATAATCGTTACGCTTTACGTAACAATAATAACTATAGGATTCCTCCTTTCAGATTATCTCTTACTAACTCTTCTTTTCTACCTTCTATTCTTCACTATTGGAATAACTTAGACAATTCGGTTCGATCCCTACCTTTTATTAATTCACTCACATCCTGTTTAACATCAAATATTCAGTCAAGTCCGCCTATTTACTTTAAAATCGGAAATCGTAAACTTAATATTTTGCATACTAAGCTCCGACACCAATGCAGTTCCCTTAATTATGACCTTTTTAGAGTTAACCTTGTTGAGAGTGCATCTTGTAATTGTGGTCATCCTTATGAGAATGTCTTTCACCATTTTATGGAATGTCAACTTTTTACAAACGAAAGACGTATTTTGATTCAAAATTTGAATAAATTGAATGTTGAATTTTTTTTGTTTGGCAATTCACAATTTTCCATGGACCTTAACCCAAACATTTTTAGATCTGTGCAAAACTTTATTAAATCCAGCAAGAGATTTTGAGTTCAAATTGTAATAACAATTGTATATATTTATTGTCATAATTGTAATGTCATTTCAAATGTATATTTGGAGAAGGCGTTGATAAGTCGTTAATACTTGTGCCTAATCCCTTGTCTTGTTTTGGCAATAAATATGTTTAAATTAAGAAGTTTTGCGCGGAGTGATACAACGAATCTTTAAACTACGTAGAACAAAATATTTTTTAAACAATCCTATCGTCATTCGCTTTTCCATATGCACATTTGAACCTTAAATGATGTTGTTATTCTAACAATATTTTTCCGTAACTCTGTATTGATATGTTTATGACGGACTATTTCCTTGCGCGGACACAATTTCCGGTTTCGGACGTCATCTGGCGCGAGCAAACGTCCTTTTTGTTTTTTTTAGAAAATACGTTCTCAAGTTCTGGGGAATGGGAAAATCCGTCTCATGTTCTTCTCAAATTGTTCTCAAGTCGTTCTCAACGTCTTCTCATACTGACAACCAATGATAATGAGTTTATCAGGCTACCGGTAGGTGGTATAAAGTAGTATATAGATGATGATATAGAATCTCAACTTGCCGGTGTTGGCGATTCCAAGATGTTTCGTTTCCAAATTAATGACAAAAATATTTTTAGTATTAATTCTGTTCAGAATTGAAGTCCTATAATTCTTAACAGAATCGTTTAAAAATCAACATAACTAGTCTAATGATCCATTATATTCAAAATTGTAATATCACTTAACGTAATCTGGACCCGTATTCACAAAATTATGTTCATTCTCAAGCTCACATTGTGGGCAAATATTCATGCAACCGTTCTCTTGCTCAAGCAGTGATTTTGTGCTCAAGCTTAATTTCTTGTTCCGTTTATAAATTAACAATAAAATCTAATTGACTTCTTGATCGTTTGACAGGATTTAGGTGAGTTACAAGAAAGTTGGTTTAAGAACAATATTTTTTATGAGTACGGGTCCTGTACTCATGCCCAATTTCATGTTCCGGTGATAAATTCAGAAAAAATACGTTTGTCAGTTACTTGGAAGAATTTTGGAAAAACAAAACATGAATGTTGTATTCCAAGTTTAAACTTTTGTTTTATTACATGACATGATTTAAGTGAGTTACCAGAAAGTCTGTTCGAGCACAGAGTCCATGCTTGAGCATGAGAATGGTTTCATGAATACGGGCCCTGGTGTAAAGTTTGTATAGCAATAAACGAACACCATCACATGTACGGAAATCAATTCTTGGGTCGTCGTTATGACTGAATGGGAGAGTGATGGTTCTTTTAACGATTTTCAAGTCAAACTCCTGTTTTTACCCCGAGTCTTTCGACCCATTGACTACAAAAGTGCATTAGTTCCAGTGCATCGCTCAAAGCAACATACATGTAAACGCATTATATAGTACAACACTATTACAAATTAATACAGTATAACATGTCTAGAATTAATTCCTTAATGTAGATCCTTCTCACATTATTGGGGGGGGGGGGGGGACATATTATGTAGCAGACTAAAGATATTTTGATAAATTCGTTACTTCCTTTCGTGTATTTCTATCAATTAAGACATAACTGGCGTATTCAGTTTGAAAAAAAACACAAATGCGCAAATGGAAAATGATCGGTATGGACGGTGACCTAGTTTGTGCAATGTCTTTGAGAAATTCTGGTGTTGATGGCGGTCGCTAATAGGAAACGGATTATACTGGAACATCTGGAAAACTTCAGGTCACGATGTTTGTCCATTGGATACCTTGGACAGGGTGCTATAAAGTTTTTTGAATAAATGAGCCTGGCCTACTTTCAAAATCACAAGAGTCAAATGTATTAAATACTTTTAAAGAACTTCTTCTGAATAACCAAGAGGACTGTGAAAATGATATTCAGCTAATAGAATGACTGGATGGAGTGTTACGAAGTTTTCTAAAATAAAACTAAGCCTTGATTTTACTTCAAGGTCACAACGGTCAAATTAATCAAGAATTTTGAATAACTTCATCCGAATAACCCAGAGGCCTAGAATAATGATAAATTGGCCTGCTGGCATTGCATGTTATAAAGATTTTTAAAAAAGCAAAAAAAACACTTAAGGTTCAAATCTGTTAAAACCTTGAAAATTACATGAATAACCAAGGAGCCTACGGTAATGATAACTGATCCGAAAAGTTTTTATTACGGGCTCCTAAACATGATATGACTGACATGACGGCATTATAATCTCCACGATCAGTCTAGGAATTAGGTTAATATAGGTTAAAAGCCAAACTCCGCCCATCCTGGTGTTGTAGATATGTAAATTTATGTTCTATTTTACTGTAAAATCCTTCATAAAAACAGCTCATTTGCCTCGTTTACAATTTTTTATTCTCAAGTCTCCAATTAATTAAATTACAGTGCCGGAAAACTATCCGGAATCAGGTATAAAGTAACAAAACAAAAAATGAAAACGTTACACATATTTGGAATCGAGTTACTTCCCCATGGGACGTAAATAATGTAATCAGACATTGCACTGATAAGCTATACATGTAACACCAGTTAGTAATGGTTTACAGAAATACAAGTCCAACTTTTAATTATGACTTCAAAATGAATTAACAAATATGCAAAATGTCGGATGGCATTCATATGAGCTATGAATATTATGACCGACATGTTGACCTCATCATTATTACATTATGTGACGTTATAATAATAACGTTGTTACGGCTGACCATCCCTGGAAAATAGCAAGAAAGCATGCACTTATTTTAACAATATACTAAATTTTCATTCATTGATTTTATTTCTATCGTATTTTCAAGATTGTTCATGCATGTATTGAACTGTAATATTGCAATGGTCGACATGAATTTCAAATGGAATTGACGAATTTCTAACCCGCTTCATTAAGTTTTCATTCCGGTTGCAAGTAACATTCTTATTGACAATGATAATCACATGCAGTCAATGCTTAGAAACATACGATTCAATGGAAATACCTTTAAATTACAATCATCTATCACGCAATAACTACGATTATTGACAGACTGTATTTCACTTATCGTGTATCACATTTCAGGACTCCCGGTGATATTAACGGCTATTTACGCCGGGGTTCGTGGGAACGAAGAGGACTGCACATCAAGGTAAGTACAAGACGGTGTAGATAAGCCGTTACGTATTCCCATGCGGACATGCATAAATACCATCTACCCAATATTTGCGAAACATGTTTTTGAGAATGCTTATCTGATTTACGAGGGTATGAATTCCCAATAGGCCCATACTGTAAAATATGTATAAGATATTCGTACGGTTCATTGTACTTAACACAAACTGTCGTCGTTTAAGTGGGTTTCGTTCATTTGCATGTATTTCACATGCTTGGAAAAAAATAAGATCTAACGTGTAAATGGATAATATTCCACATGTAATTAGAAATGTTGAAACTTAAAGATTCATCTAAAATCAAACAACGAATGTTATATTGCTAGAATCCATGACTAGCTGGTACGTACATATGTATCTCAATATATCATGTATTTGTCCATTACACTTAGAATTCATATAACAGGTATATAGAGCCCAACATAATGTATGCTTAAACTCGAAAATTTGTTCCCAGAACAAAAACGATAAAATTCTACACGGCGAAACAAAAGTACTCTACATTAACGTTTGCGGTTCTATTGTACTGGACTACAATAATCCAGTGATATGTAGTACATCTTGTACATGTATAGAATTAGACTTTGTTTACAGGTGCTGGATTGACAGTTGTTACCAGTGGATTCTGTACGGACCGATCGTCGTGTCACTTGTGGTAGGTATACCCAAAACGTCACACTACGTCACTAGGTACGTCATTAGGTAGTCACAACGTGTGAGATACTGTATACTTCAGGATTGAATCTTGCATTGGTCAAATTCATGGGGTGATGAAATAAGTTGGTCTTGAAACAAATTTAATGAACTGCGAAGCAGTTTGTGTTGAATTTGTTTCAAGACCAACTTAATTCATCACCCCATGAAATCGACCAAAGCAAGATTCAATCCTTATATTTCAGTCAACGCATTTGTTTTGTCCCAGGTTCTGGAGCTTGTGCAAGTCTACGGTTTGACGTAATGTTAAAAACATAGTCCGTCATTAAATGACCAGTATACAGTATGATGGTGTACGTTGATAGTTCAATACAGCCAAATTATGTAGAAACATAACACATAACCATATTTTAAATGTCATATCTAATTTTCGTTGATGAATTCAAAAGATATCAAATTTTCTGATGCATCATCGCAGAAGAATAATGTCTAGACGCGGTGCACAGGCTCAGCTGCGAGTCTCGAAGTGGAGAGCTGCTAAATTTCGAGGAATGTGAAGCTGCAGTGATTGAATGTCGAATTAAACAGGAAACCAGACGTGGCTTGAAAGGACGAGACATTGTATATCACATTTGTCTATCGACTGTATCTCATATAACACGGGACCACATGAATCTACCACAGGGGTTCGTTACTAATGTCTGAAATACACATGCTAATTAAAACTGATATGGGTCACAACACACATAAACATGAATCTGTACACATATGCTATACTGATATGGGTCACAGCATAAATAAACATACATTTATATGTATGTTTATGTGTGCTGTGACCCATGTCAGTTTTAGCATGATATGTGTATTTCAGACATTCGTACCGAACCCCTGTGGATCTACGATGTTTTTTATTTGTACCGGGGGTTAATTGAATGGGTAGCTGTACTGTATCGAGAATTTCTAGGACAGTACATGACTAGCCACTACCGCTAGCAACAGTGAGCTGATAATATTTTGCTGATTGGTCGTTTTTGGTTGTTTGAACAATTTCTTGTGTTGCTTCAATAAAAATGTGAAATCTCATCAAGTGGTCATGTCAATAGTTATCTCCCTTCGCAAAATCATACGCACGGGCAATGCTGATCTGGTCAAATTCATCGGCAAATATAGTACAAATGTCACTATTTTAGCGGTTATCATGTTTTTTGGGATGTTTGTTGGTTTGTTGTTTTAAGGTGAGCGTGTGTGATATCTGATGTTTCAGTTTTCAAGCGGTGGCATAGAAAATTAGTTCACCAAGTATCAGTTATAAACCAATGATTTCTGAATATTCTTGTCAATAAAGTATTTCAACTGAGGCCTTGGGGCGCAGAAGCCAGTGTCACTGATCCGCCCTCCTACCCTGTGTAGTGTTGTTATATCATTGATACAAAAGGGTCTACAAGAGCTCAATCTAATGCGCAAAAATAATTCCGTAGCCAAAGGCAGTTCTAATTCCGGGTTCTTCAGTGTGTAATGCAATAGTCTGCTCATCAATACAATTTGAACCCTTCAAATTATTATAATAATTCTGATGGTTACAGGAAACGTCTGGTAAAAAAGTCTAAACTCTCCGGCGAGTAGATCATTATACTTGTATCTTCTGAACAATTACCCCTCGTAAGTTTCCTCTAGGATCCGTTTAACAGTAAAATTCTGTCTAATCTACACAACTTGTGGAATCTAACATAATAGCAAAATATTGCATGAAGTAACACACATAAAATACTTACCTAATCAAATAATATTATTAAAAATTAGAAACATAGGTACAGTATTATGGCGTAATATGGAGTAAGTTCTCAAACCTGGCTGTTCCTTTTGAATCATTTTGTCAATTAAATATGTTAAATTAATTACACAAATTAGACATGGCGTTAGATTTGATTGAAAAATATTTTATTACCAGAAATGAAGCCAAATGATTGCGTACAAATGAAGCCAGAAGATTGGGTACAAGTTATTACAACATTAATAACCTAAACAACATTGTTTACACCCTCTCCACAAATAGTAGCAAACAAATATAATAACAATCAAAGAAGATGCACAAACCGTAGTCAAGTTTTGTTTTCATGTTGTTCTCCTTGTTCCCAGAGGTAAACATCAACAATTTCTATTAATAAGAATTTATGACTGATTTCAATGAAAATAATTATGCACATTTTTAAAGCCAAAGTGTCTCGTAAGCGAATAAAAGCTGGACAATTTTAATCATGCATGACTGTATTTTTATTGAGGTTAACAGCTAACATTACAGCTGTGTATAGGCTTTACATGTGCATTGGTTGGATAAATACATATCTGTGCACTGAGAACGGACCCCTTGAAACTTGAGGATGCTGTATGACTGTTATACAGACTGGACATGTTTCTACGACGTAGTTATGTGCGTCAGCCATTAACTAAAAACTAAAAAAACTCTGTACAGACACACAAAGAAGCGCACGTGAACCTTGATGTATAAGATGAATGGGAGAGTAATTAAGTATCTCTGATCTTCTTTAATTAATCTTATAAAGCGTACCGCGAATAGACCATTCCTACAGCAAGTAGTATAGTTTCACGAACTTCAAAAGATTGCTTACAACTGAAACCTATCCTTTACCAAAACGTCATTACCATAAGAATAGCTTTATCGTTTTCTGTTCGTCAGGTATATTATTTCATTCTGCATTAACCAAAACATTGAGGATCAATTAAGTATGGATACCACTTAAAAGACCTCATTTAATTTTGTAATCAAAACAGAATATGTGATGTGTACGTCCATTACCGCCGTTTGATGTTCCGCTGCAAGTCTCTAAATGAGCGCAATTGGATAAGTGTCATTTTGACGCTTCTCCTGCCTCGCGTAACGTACGACCGTCGTCAGAAGCAAACATCCAGGTGACATTACGCTGTTCCTGGACCATCGTTAAGACTGACGATAAAAACAATTTAATCGAAAATACAACGAAATACTTCTATGTATATCACTTATAAGCATAAGTTAAGAATGTTATTTAACATAATACTTATAAACGTTTTTAATTATTTAGTATTCAGCGGCAATTTTTCCGATGTTCAAGACAGTATGAGTGCCATTGGTTCCACATACAAATGTACACCCCATCACTTGCTCGTGTAATTTTTCGGCTAATTTTGGGATTCCAACTCGATGTATGTCTTGGCAGGGACAAATCCAATATTAATACACTTAACAATGTGTATTTCATTTTGTTTCAGGGCAATATCATATTCCTCATCAACATTATCAGATTACTGATGACCAAACTTCAACAAATACCAGAATCCACTCAAAAGAAGTAGGTATTGTCTACGTTCACAGTCCGTATTCATAAACGTTTATATATCTCAACTTGGATTTTTTCTCTCTAAATGTTGTATTCCCTAAAACAGCGCCCAACCGAAATAGGCTTCTTTGTGTGAATAAAGAGGAGAGAACATAAATTCAAAAATGGCTTCCAAAAAAAACGAAAAATGATAGAAACGTGGTTGGACTCTGTTCCTAAAGTAATCATTCAAAGTCATTCAGAATTAAAGTGATCTTTGCGTTGTATGGACCTATTTTGGAAATGAGATGAAATTGAGATGCATTTTACATTAAAGATGCATAATACTCTAAGTGGATATTTTAGTCAACTATCGAGACTGTAACATTGATGATCACAGTTTATGGCATGACTCATAATATTCTTTAACAATTATTTAATATGTTTAACCAGAACTTCTGGGTTTTTTTATTCATAAATTATGTTTCCTAATGCTAAAGGTGCGGTCATTTAAACGGACATGTCACTCGCCTGTTTTGTTTACAGAAAAGCAGCCAAAGCGATACTGCTACTGGTTCCGTTACTAGGACTGCAGCACCTGCTCACCCCGATGAAGCCCTATAAGGGATCCCCGTTAGAGGACTTCTACAGTTACTTTATAGCCGTTATTGTATCACTCCAGGGGACGTTCGTAGCCATTATCTATTGTTTCTGTAATGGCGAGGTAAGAAAATGATCAACCTCAACGGACATATGATGATTAAAGGGGCTGGCCGGGGAAAAAATGTCATATTTGCTAAAATGGCATACACATGTTTAAAATACCTTCTTATGAAATATACCGATTCAAATTTTGCTGAAATTCACTCCCTAAGAGTAAAAATTATAATTATATTAAAAAAATCCTAAATTGTCACCTGACAGTCTAAAACTCTCAATTGACCCAGATCAGTGATGTAATTTACCGCACGCGCATCATTAACAAGGCCAAATGTAAACATCGCAGCGAAAGAAAAAGATGCATGCAAAAGTCATGACAGGCACGAGGTATCAATACCGTTATATATAACAACAACATATAGGTAGGAATACTATACTTGCATTATACATGACCTTTGAAAACAATTATTTACGTATTGTGTTGCTGTCTTGTCCGCTGGTTGAGTCCGACATGGCACATGACGGCGTGCTATTGTTGTTATCTTCACTGCCTCACTTTCGAAACAACCACGTGACATATATAAATAGATCTGCGCTGAATTTACGCGGGGTTTCCCCGAGAATAAAGTGGTCAAAACTGGACATTGCAAGCAGAACTCGACCATCATATTGCCGTGGTATAACTATTAGAAGGCCAGAGAACGCATTTAGGCCCATTTATTTTTTCCCCCGACCAGCCCCTTTAATATTCCTTCTGTAAGAATTATCACTCTGTTTACAAGACCTTAAATAGATTTTAAAATGCATGTATAATGTAAGCGTATATTTTAAAAATTAATGCAGGACTTGTACCAGTCAATGCCGACCTATCGCCGCTTAATGAATGTAAGAGAACGAATTAATAATATTGGCAGCTGTGACATAAAATGTGTGTGTGTGTGGGGGGGGGGGGGGGGGGGGTGGGGGGGGGGGGGGGGGGGGGGGGGGGGGTCATATAGTACTAGCGCCCGGTTTCAATGCATTCATGTCTGACAGACATTTTCTAGTTTGCCACATGTGTTAATATATATTAACCATTCACAGAACTTGTGACAAAGCACAAATCCTATTTGGAATGATATAAGTACTCTGTGCTTGTTTTAGATCCCTGACTGTATTATGTATTTAATTGTATTAACGTATATTGGCAATATCATACTGTTTATGTGTATACCCCAAGGTCTTGTTTGGCGGTTTACGTTAACGTTACAGGTGGGATTAAACCATTACGTTGAATATGCAGTACCGCATGTTTATAACTGTGATGTTTACGTCGCGGAAAACAGAAAATATGTGGAACAATGTCACAAATGATTTAAATTTGATAATCATATATCACACATTTTTCATATCAATGGTTACCTTAGACAAGGACAGTAAAATATTTCTCGAATTATCACTATTTCAATTATTATGAACGGTGATTTGTGGCCGCATGAAGGATTAAATCAGTTATATACTTTTTTCTTCAATGAAGTCTTCTTACTAGTGGCAAAAGTGAAACCAATCAAATTTTTGTTCGACAGAGCCGTTTTAGATCGTTTTGGCAAGGCAGATTGAATGCTTGGCTGCTTTTTGATTGGTTAATAAAACAGTTTCTACAAAATGCGAACTTAGGTTTAGATACGAAACGAACTATATCATACGTTCATCTCAAAATCTCATAATACATAAATACATATCTCACAGTATCTTGCGCAAAGTACATACAAGTCTATTTGGATAAACAATGTTTCCTCCTTTCATCACCGATGAGTCTTAGAAGGACGAAACAGCTGTATGATGGAGTGCGATTCATTTTTGGCTGTGTCTATTATTTATTTTAAAGGTGCTATCACATGTGTGTGTTTTACATTCACTTTATAATGAGTATGTGATCTGTAGCCGTCACAAAAAAATGTCCCTTATACATGTATATACAATATTCCAATTAATATCTAAGTTGGCGAAGTAATACAGATGAATACTATCGAAACTTGGAAGAGAAAGGTGTTACTGTATAAACGTAATTAACAGTTATTTCCGTTGAACGATCAACATGGTTTTCAAACAGTAAATCTTAAATAAAAAGTCTTTTTGTTGCAATTATTAATTTTGTTAATGACTCTTCGTCTGGTCATATGTTTTAAACAATGGTATAGGTTCATATATATATATAATAAAAAGGGATTAAATGTCCATGTGAAGGAGGTAAATATAGAAAAAATAAGATTATTATATGCATGAACATTTTTCGCAATCACATTGGTCGGATCAGATACACGTGACCAGTCCTCAAAAACTCATGAAGACTGGTTATCCGGTGAATATCGATTTCTAAATATAGCCTACATGGAAATTCCCCGGAACCTGTCGTAGCGCATGCGCAGTTAGACCGGAACGCGATCTGTCAGACGACATTAGAAGATGGCTGCTGGCGAACGTTTCACCTCCGTTAGGAAAATTACCAAAACTATTCGAGGATAAAGATGCTGTTAACATAAAAAAGGCCATTGAACACGCAGTGCATGTCCTCCATGCTTATCTTAAGAAAAAAGAACCTAGACGATGTCTTCGAAAGCTACAATGATGAAATGTTGTATTCAAACCTGGCTAAATTTCACACGTAGGCTAGCATACAAAAATCAGAACCTTTAGTTTTGTTTCGTTTTATTTTATTGTTGAAGCATATAATAAAACAGTTATGGGCTTTTGTGCTGGTAAATATGATGTGATATGAACCTGAAAGAGTGATATTGGCCTCGGCTTCGCCTCAGTCAATATCACTCTTTCAGGATCATATCACATCATATTCACCAGCACAAAAGTCCAAAATTGTATATTAACGACCGACTAAAAAACAAGCTGCTTTCACTCTTCACAGGGCTCTTCAAGTTCATTCAAAAGAACAACGTCGTGACATCACAATTACATGTCATCACACTACAATAGTAACGTGACGTCACGAAGTACACAAGATTGGTGGACCATTTAGCGTAAAATTTTACTGTGGCCTGTTGTGACTTGGTTTTAATATTTTCACTTCTCAAAGATATTGCTTGTTATAGGTGATATCTTTGTTACGGCGGAAGTGGAGTCAACATCGTCTAATGCGGGGCGTGGATGTCCGAATCAGTGGCATGAACGCCACGTCTTATACGTTCACAGAACCGATGCATGGACAATCCAACGGCAAAAAAATTACCAACCCTTGTACGCAGGTAAACAAACGATTTTTGAAATGCATCTTTGTGCATTTGTATATGCTATTTATTATATTATTATATATTATTATACACATTTTATATTGCAGAATTAACGCCGTTTTTTCCAGGATTATAAATATAATACATCTAAGCATATGAAATAATTGTGTTAAATACAGTTGTACAAATAGTAACAGATCGTGTTAAAAAAAGCCACGGTCAGTTACGTTATGTACGTACTAAAACATGTAGCATTCCTTTTTATTTCAGAATGGGCTGACTGTCTCGTCATTGGAAATGGTTCCTCTGAAGGATAAGGCAGACTGTTGACACGACACCTGACGATGTAATCGCACAAATGATAAGATATGTCAAAAGAAGAACTGACGCTGTCATAGTGAGCAAATAGTGAGCAACGGAACTAATGTTGACATCATTCTTCTTCAATCGTCAACAACAAAACTGACGCTGTCATCATTCTAGTCGTATTAACTGTCAACAACAGAACTGATGTTTCATTATTTTAGTGAAAAACAACTGTCAACAACAGAACTGACGCTGTCATCATTCTTGTGATATTAACTTCAAGACCAGAATTGACACTGGCATCGTTCTAGTGATGTTATCTGTCAACAACAGAACTGATGTTTCATAATTTTAGTGAAAAACAACTGTTTACAACAGAACTGACACTTGCATCGTTTAAGTGATATTATCTGTCAACACCAGAACAGACGTTGTCATCAGAATAGTGTGTAAACTGTCAACACCAGAACTGACGTTGTCATCAGAATAGTGCGTAAACTGTCAACAACAGAACTGACGTTGTCATCAAAATAGTGTGTAAACTGTCAACACCAGAACTGACACTGGTATCGTTTAAGTAATATTATCTGTCAACACCAGAACTGACGTTGTCATCAAAATAGTGTGTAAACTGTCAACACCAGAACTGACACTGGCATCGTTTTAGTGATTTTATCTGTCAACACCAGAACTGACGTTGTCATCAGAATAGTGTGTAAACTGTCAACAACAGAACTGACGTTGTCATCAGAATAGTGTGTAAACTGTCAACACCAGAACTGACGTTGTCATCAGAATAGTGTGTAAACTGTCAACACCAGAACTGACGTTGTCATCAGAATAGTGTGTAAACTGTCAACACCAGAACTGACGTTGTCATCAGAATAGTGTGTAAACTGTCAACACCAGAACTGACGTTGTCATCAGAATAGTGTGTAAACTGTCAACACCAGAACTGACGTTGTCATCAGAATAGTGTGTAAACTGTCAACACCAGAACTGACGTTGTCATCAGAATAGTGTGTAAACTGTCAACACCAGAACTGACGTTGTCATCAGAATAGTGTGTAAACTGTCAACACCAGAACTGACGTTGTCATCAGAATAGTGTGTAAACTGTCAACACCAGAACTGACGTTGTCATCAGAATAGTGTGTAAACTGTCAACAACAGAACTGACGTTGTCATCAGAATAGTGTGTAAACTGTCAACACCAGAACTGACGTTGTCATCAGAATAGTGTGTAAACTGTCAACACCAGAACTGACGTTGTCATCAGAATAGTGTGTAAACTGTCAACACCAGAACTGACGTTGTCATCAGAATAGTGTGTAAACTGTCAACACCAGAACTGACGTTGTCATCAGAATAGTGTGTAAACTGTCAACACCAGAACTGACGTTGTCATCAGAATAGTGTGTAAACTGTCAACACCAGAACTGACGTTGTCATCAGAATAGTGTGTAAACTGTCAACACCAGAACTGACGTTGTCATCAGAATAGTGTGTAAACTGTCAACACCAGAACTGACGTTGTCATCAGAATAGTGTGTAAACTGTCAACACCAGAACTGACGTTGTCATCAGAATAGTGTGTAAACTGTCAACACCAGAACTGACGTTGTCATCAGAATAGTGTGTAAACTGTCAACACCAGAACTGACGTTGTCATCAGAATAGTGTGTAAACTGTCAACACCAGAACTGACGTTGTCATCAGAATAGTGTGTAAACTGTCAACACCAGAACTGACGTTGTCATCAGAATAGTGTGTAAACTGTCAACACCAGAACTGACGTTGTCATCAGAATAGTGTGTAAACTGTCAACACCAGAACTGACGTTGTCATCAGAATAGTGTGTAAACTGTCAACACCAGAACTGACGTTGTCATCAGAATAGTGTGTAAACTGTCAACACCAGAACTGACGTTGTCATCAGAATAGTGTGTAAACTGTCAACACCAGAACTGACGTTGTCATCAGAATAGTGTGTAAACTGTCAACACCAGAACTGACGTTGTCATCAGAATAGTGTGTAAACTGTCAACACCAGAACTGACGTTGTCATCAGAATAGTGTGTAAACTGTCAACACCAGAACTGACGTTGTCATCAGAATAGTGTGTAAACTGTCAACACCAGAACTGACGTTGTCATCAGAATAGTGTGTAAACTGTCAACACCAGAACTGACGTTGTCATCAGAATAGTGTGTAAACTGTCAACACCAGAACTGACGTTGTCATCAGAATAGTGTGTAAACTGTCAACACCAGAACTGACGTTGTCATCAGAATAGTGTGTAAACTGTCAACACCAGAACTGACGTTGTCATCAGAATAGTGTGTAAACTGTCAACACCAGAACTGACGTTGTCATCAGAATAGTGTGTAAACTGTCAACACCAGAACTGACGTTGTCATCAGAATAGTGTGTAAACTGTCAACACCAGAACTGACGTTGTCATCAGAATAGTGTGTAAACTGTCAACACCAGAACTGACGTTGTCATCAGAATAGTGTGTAAACTGTCAACACCAGAACTGACGTTGTCATCAGAATAGTGTGTAAACTGTCAACACCAGAACTGACGTTGTCATCAGAATAGTGTGTAAACTGTCAACACCAGAACTGACGTTGTCATCAGAATAGTGTGTAAACTGTCAACACCAGAACTGACGTTGTCATCAGAATAGTGTGTAAACTGTCAACACCAGAACTGACGTTGTCATCAGAATAGTGTGTAAACTGTCAACACCAGAACTGACGTTGTCATCAGAATAGTGTGTAAACTGTCAACACCAGAACTGACGTTGTCATCAGAATAGTGTGTAAACTGTCAACACCAGAACTGACGTTGTCATCAGAATAGTGTGTAAACTGTCAACACCAGAACTGACGTTGTCATCAGAATAGTGTGTAAACTGTCAACACCAGAACTGACGTTGTCATCAGAATAGTGTGTAAACTGTCAACACCAGAACTGACGTTGTCATCAGAATAGTGTGTAAACTGTCAACACCAGAACTGACGTTGTCATCAGAATAGTGTGTAAACTGTCAACACCAGAACTGACGTTGTCATCAGAATAGTGTGTAAACTGTCAACACCAGAACTGACGTTGTCATCAGAATAGTGTGTAAACTGTCAACACCAGAACTGACGTTGTCATCAGAATAGTGTGTAAACTGTCAACACCAGAACTGACGTTGTCATCAGAATAGTGTGTAAACTGTCAACACCAGAACTGACGTTGTCATCAGAATAGTGTGTAAACTGTCAACACCAGAACTGACGTTGTCATCAGAATAGTGTGTAAACTGTCAACACCAGAACTGACGTTGTCATCAGAATAGTGTGTAAACTGTCAACACCAGAACTGACGTTGTCATCAGAATAGTGTGTAAACTGTCAACACCAGAACTGACGTTGTCATCAGAATAGTGTGTAAACTGTCAACACCAGAACTGACGTTGTCATCAGAATAGTGTGTAAACTGTCAACACCAGAACTGACGTTGTCATCAGAATAGTGTGTAAACTGTCAACACCAGAACTGACACTGGTATCGTTTAAGTGATATTATCTGTCAACACCAGAACTGACGTTGTCATCAGAATAGTGTGTAAACTGTCAACACCAGAACTGACGTTGTCATCAGAATAGTGTGTAAACTGTCAACAACAGAACTGACACTGGTATCGTTTTAGTGATATTATCTGTCAACACCAGAACTGACGTTGTCATCAGAATAGTGTGTAAACTGTCAACAACAGAACTGACGCTGTCATCATTCTAGTGATATTGACATCAAGACCAGAACTGACGTTGTCATCATTCTAGTGATATTAACATCAAGACCAGAACTGACGCTGTCATCATTCTAGTTATATTGACATCAAGACCAGAACTGACGTTGTCATCATTCTTGTGATATTAACACCAAGACCAGAACTGACGCTGTCATCATTCTTGTGATATTAACATCAAGACCAGAACTGACGCTGTCATCATTCTAGTGATATTGACTGTTAACAACGGAATCGTTGTGTTTAAACATTCGTGGTTTTCATGGTTGCTGTTGAACAACGAAAATAATTACAAGTATTTTGAATGATATACGTATCTACTGTTTATGAATATGGGATATCCACGAACGTTTGTACCACAAAACGATCTAGATGACTTCAAACCATGAAGGAAAGTACCCACGAACATTTCCTGTAATACAGTAACTGTTTGTATAGATAGTATTACATTAATGACACAGGATGGTGATAAGTTAATTTGTGGATCAGTGAACAATATTCTGGAGAAATCAATGATATGTGTCCCTCTACCACTCAGCCCGGCACTACATGTATCTGATGTACTTGATAAAATGATAACCACGGGTACTTCCACATGATGTGACACCACAGTTCGGGTGTTAGGTGTCACATAGTTGTAACGGGGAGATATACTCTTGTACAGTGTAAATGGATTTAGTATTCATAAATGTACACATTATGTACAAATAACTAAACTTGTACAAATCCTATTTAAACAGATGTATTTAATAGATAGATATATAAGGCACATTTTCTAGCTAGGATCAAGGTAATTTCTTTTAAAATATCTAAGCCTGCGCGTATATATTGTGTAGATGTCATAGTAAGAAAATGTATTGGGGTGGTTATTTGTACGTGTTTTATTGAATTTTCTTGCTTTATTTCTTTAAAACAATGTCAAAGGAGCAGAAAACTCAATACAACACATACATACCTAAATTAATTTTCTAACAAGTGTATCTAATAAAAGTGGGCTTCGAATCCTTTTCTTGCCCCGTTGCATTTTTATTCTCAAAACATTGTTGTAAATATCTGTTTATTACAACTTTTTATTTACATACTCTTTTTCATGAAACTTTCGCAAAGTCTGGTTTCCTTTTAAGAAACAATATCTGTATTGAAGCTTTTGTCATGCAAGAACAAGTTTCTAATTCATTGTTATAGCTTCTGTCAGTATCTTAAAGGTGAACCATCTAACCGCTTTGGTACTCGCTTGTAGACCAGTTGAAATTTTCCTATAACTCAACCAACAAAAGCAATAGACTA